GGGGGGGGGGGGGGGGGGGGGGTTATTGCTGTTAAACAGCTGCAGATTATTAATCCAGATGTTTTCACAGGCCACGCCCACTCAGGGCCAGCCAGAGGCGGCGCTGCAGGCCGAGCTGCTGCCAGACCTGACCGGATCCACCCAGAGTCCTCCAGCAGAGCACATGGGGACGCCCCCGTCCACCGTGGACACGGCCGCCCTGAGCGAGGAGCCGCTGCCAGGTGAGGTTCCTCTGTGAGCTTCTGGAGGCTCCTCCTTCTAGACTAACGCGACGTTGATGTTTCTGCCGTCAGTCAAGCCGCTCTCCAAACCCAACCGCCCCGCCCACATCTGCTCCACCTGCAACAAGGAGTTCAAGAACAGCTACAACCTGCGGCGGCATCAGTCCGTCCACACCGGCATCAAGATGAAGGACCGGGCGGCGCGGGAGAAGGAGGACGGGGTCAAGGTGGGGCGGCTGGAGAAGCAGAGCATCCCCCTGTCTCTGCTGCAGCTCACGCTGCCCCCTCAGCCTCTGCCCGCCGCCCCGGACCCCCTGCCCCAGCCTCTGGCCAACCAGGACCCTGAACCCGTCTCTGTGTCCATCGCCCCGGCGACCGTTACCATGGCTGCCCCTCCTCAGCCCATCCAGGCTGCCATCGTGGTGATGGGCTCCATGGAGCAGGTGGGTTTGCGGTTCTTCAGGTTTGGACCCCGATTCTGAACCCAGACCCGGTTTCCTTTGGGCTCTTACTGGTTTTAGTTGAATGGAACCAGTAAGAAACCATGAAGGAACTTTCCTTTGCTCTACTGCACAGAATCCCAATCCCAACCCCGCTCCCAGCGCCACCCAGGTGAGGAAGAACCACGCCTGCGAGGCCTGCGGGAAGGCCTTCAGAGACGTCTACCACCTGAACCGCCACCGCCTGTCCCACTCCGACGAGAAGCCGTATTCCTGCCCCATCTGCCAGCAGCGATTCAAGAGGAAAGACCGGATGAGCTACCACGTCCGCTCGCACCAAGGGGGCGTGGAGAAGCCCTACATCTGTCCTCACTGCTCCAAGGCCTTCTCCAGGTAGGAGCTCAGCTGGACCGCGGTTCTCCTCTGGAGACCAGACCTTTAATCACCTTCTGCTCGGCAGGCCGGATCACCTTAACAGTCACGTCCGACAGGTGCACTCCACAGAGCGGCCCTTCAAATGCACGGTAAGCATCGGCTCCACTCTGCTTTCCTAAAAACTGCTCAAGTCCTGTTTCACTTCCCTTTCCTCTCAGTGCTGGGATGTTATAATAACAACTTGTGGAGCCTGTGGGAATCGAACCGGGAACCTGGAACCTTCTCAGATCCCAGAACAGACCCGCTGCTAGACTACGGCTAGCTGACAGACCCGATGCTAGACTACTGCTAGCTGACTGACCCGCTGCTATACTACGGCTAGCTGACAGACCCGCTGCTAGACTACGGCTAGCTGACAGACCCGATGCTAGACTACTGCTAGCTGACTGACCCGCTGCTATACTACGGCTAGCTGACAGACCCGCTGCTAGACTACGGCTAGCTGACAGACCCGATGCTAGAC